GGTTTAGTGAGCATGGCTAATGAAAACAAACTGTTTAGTAGTTCAAATGTCATGAATTCCATTTTACTGAACCTTAGTAGCGAAGTGCACAAGGTTTTTTTTTTTATCAACCTTAATGCCATAGGTTGTCCTACAAGAGTTGGAACTCCAGATGGCTTTGCTCTTGGGATCACTGGGACATGCAAACACTCTACCACAACATGGAATGATCACATAAGTAGACACTGAGGTCAACACCAAGTGGCAAAAGTCTGTTTCAGGCATGAAACAGACTGTCGCCATTCCATGTTGACCATTGTGTCCACTGTTGTGTGTGTGTGTGTATAACAGAAGATAAATGAACAAAAAAAGTGAGGCAAATCAAGTTTCACCCTCATAAATGAAGGATCATCAGGCCAGGTTCAATATTTATCTTGTGTTGCTCATGGTTTATGCTTTAAATATGAAGAATTTGTAGTTTCTTTTTTGTTGGAGGCTTGAATGTTAGTGTCCTATGTATTCCATATTAGCTCTTATCATTATGTTTTGTTATATATTACACACACACACAGGATGTGGCAAAAATATCTCCCACATAAAGATAAGGCATTAGTGGCAAGGGCGTCTTCATCTAGTTAATGTTTTACCACTGTATGGGAAATATTTCTGCTGCACGCTCTCTCTCTCTCTCTCTATATATATATATATATATATATATGTGTGTGTGTGTGAATACATATATATATGTAGTGTGAGGAAGGGAAATATATATAGTTCCATCAATAAGACTATTATTTTAGTCTTTTAAAGAATGAAATGTATTATATAATTAGTTATTGATAAATGATATTAGTAGTTATATAAAATTTTTCCCCTTTATTTAACCAATATCATTGGTAAAAGTTTTATATCGAAAATAATTATGTACTGGACTTGAGAAACTTGTTTCCCCCCCAAAAAAACTGTTTTAAAGGAAAGACTTTATAAATTTCAACTGAAAATAGTACTGGCTGCTTGGTCAATGAATGCCAAATGTTTCCTTGCAAGGAAACGGCTAATATTACTACTACTTACTAAATATTAGATAATACAACAAATTTTTTTATTCTTTTGGCAAAATTATTTGTGTATATTTCTCAGTGCACTTTGCTAACAAACTAATGATTGGATTGACTTATGTGCAAAGTTAGTTGGAAGTTTTTACAGAAAGATTTCATTTAATATTGTAATGCAATACTTTTCATTATACATAATCACCTACTGTATGTGAAGGGGTTATCAGAGAAAATACAAAAGATCTGTGGTCCATATAAAAAAATGGACAACCTTCAAAAGCTGGACGACACTTCGCAGATATCTCACCCTGAGTACCCCCCCCCATAGAGGAGAACATGACTAACGACTGTGTGTACGCCATCCTGTGCAGCTGCAGAAAGAAATATAAAGGGAGACAGGCCACCCCCTTAAGGTAAGGCTTCAAGAATACCAGAAAGCTCTAACATGAGGGAATAGAAAAATCAGGCATGGCTGACTACATATGCAGAGAAAAGGGAGGTCATCGCCCTCTGTGGGATCAGGTTGAAATCATAGACAAAGAACATCATTGGAAAATTCATAAACTTAAGGAAGCAGCACATATGCTAGGCCACAAAAAATCTCCTGAGCCGACCAAGCATAGAAATGAATACAATATGGGAAGCAGTAATAAGGAGTGCCAGGAAAAAGTGATAACAACAACAAAAATTGCAATATGAGCTCTGGTAAAAACATGCAATGATACCAGCAAAAATTGCAATATGAGCACTGGACATTAGGTTTATAATAGCCAGAAATTCATAGACAGATGTCCTCAAAGACACATGGTACAGTGGATAAAGTCGTTAGTTAGATCCAGTGACAAGACCCAAAGTGTGTGAGTTCAGTACCTGGTTAAGGCAGTGGAGAACTTTGAGAGGGGAATTAACTGGAGATAATTGATAACTGACATCCCTTAGACATGGCACGTGGAACTAGAACAATCTACCCCAGTGAGCAAAATAAAGGGTTCAGTTCGACATTCCAACCAACTGAAGAATACCAGAGCATACAACGGCTGAAACGCTGTGATAAATATGGCGACAAAGATGAGGACAATAGTCCGAATAATGTAAATAGTGTACATAATCACATTTAGCTGTGCTAAATAAAAATCAAATTGAATTGTAACAGTTGTTAATCTCAACCGTTTACACTTTGTCATAATCTATAATAGCAGTATTTACTAGTTGCTTGCAATCACTATTAAGGAATTTAGTCTCACTCATGCCTACTGTTTTATATAGATTAAATACAGTTTAGGATCTCTCAATACAGGACTATAGGAATTTTTTGTATGGCAGGGAGCTTTTAAAATTCTGGCATAATTTTTCAAAAGGTATCTTCAATATATAGTTTAGGGTCACACCAAGTTTTAATCCGAGCCTGGAAGTTGGTTAACTTATTAATATTTTAAGTTTATTTTTTTTTAAATTTCATTGCAACTAGTCAAAAAAAAAAAATTCTCAATTTTTGATCTGTGCTCTTTACTTATAGTTGTAGATTAATGGTCTGATTAGTTCTGGTGACAAAAATCTAACTAAAATTAAGATGAACAATATGCACAAAGAATGAATAATACTAGTAATTACATCTAAAATTAAAATTCAAAATAAAATCCATGTTTTCTTAAAATATTGAGACAAGTGTTAATTTTTGTTTACAAACATATGTACAAGAAAAAAAAATTGTAAATAAATTTTGAAAGTCTAAGATTTTTAAAAAAGTTTTTCTAATAAACATTTTTGTGCTGAATGGAACATGTTTTATAGTGTATTTTTTGATACCGTACAAGCATTAATTATATTTAAATCTGATGTGTAAGTACATATGTTTCAGTTTTTTCTGTGCATAGTACGCATCTGTTTATTTCAGTCTGTTTAGTCAAAATTCAGTCCTTTGGTAATGAGATTAGAATGACCTCTCTAGATCACAGGACTGGGTGATGGTACATGGAGACTGTGCACTGCCCAGACTACATGCCCCCTCCTTCTCACTTGAATTGACAAGATCCTAAGATAAGAGTCAAGATCTGGTTTCATATATCAATTGTTCCTCTATGCAAGTAAAGTTCAAGTGCCAAGAGAGATATCACAACAGTTTAAATAGTATCTAATGGCCCAATCCACCCTGTGCAGGAGGGAGATACAAGTCTATGCTCCTGCTGCTGTTGATAGGAACAATCCATTAAGTTGGGGAGGGGGAGGATAACTGGTTATACCAGTTACAATAAACAAAGGGTATTATATTTGGGGATGGCTTGGCTGGATTTTTGTTTGAATTTACTTCCATGTTTGGATATGACCACAAGGCAGCAGAGGTTCAAAATCAGGGTTGTCCTTCCCATAGATGGACTGCCTTCCTGGACTATTGAGCTCCATTTACCCAAAGCAGCTGGTTATGAGGCACCAGTTGTCTGCCTTTGCTTGGAGCTCGACTTAGTTGTTAGAGGCTATTTGAGACACATGCCATGGAAGCATTTTATAAACAGTGGGAGCTTGTCCCTGCTATCACCCATTAGAACATATATTCTGTGTATAACATTGATAAAATTATCAAACTTATTGCTCTTCTGGTATATCAAAAATATGTTTTAAAATGTTTCACTAATGAACATTACAAGGTTAATATTTACTTAATAGCAGTTGTTACTATATGCTGTTATAAAAGACGTGTTTAATCACGTGAATGACAAGACATAACAAAAGTAGCTCTGAGAGAGATGTAGTACAGTGTAACCCGGATATAAGAGAGATTTTCTCTGGTTCCAAATTAGAGCCAGTGTTAACCTAAACAAAATAGACCAAACCCGGATATAAGAGAAACCCGGATATAAGAGATTTCTTCTCCGGTCCCGACAACTCTCTTATATCTGGGTTACACTGTATATTAATTAGCAATTAGATATATGGCACAGAGGACTACTGTTCCTATCAAAATTTCCTTTTAAGAAATTTTTTTTTAATCATTTCACCCCAAGCAAGGCAATAAAACCAATAAGATGCAAGGATTTATTGAGAAAAAGAGAAAAATATTATTAAGGAACAAGAAAAATTAAAGAACAGGAATTAAGAAAACAAAAGAATGATTGACATTGCATTTAAATTTTTGAAGATCAAAGTTGGCTGGAAAGCAAGAAGCCGGAAGACAGTTCCACAAACAAAACTTGAGAGAGAACATAGTAGAGTATTCAGGAGGATAGTAGATAACGAGTGACATTGCATTTAAATTTTTGAAGATCAAAGTTGGCTGAAGAGAGTTCCACATGTGAGAAGTGCGAGAGAAGAAATTGTCAGCATAGGAATTATGGTTACATCTAGCAATTTTAAACTGTAAATTGATGAAACCTAGCTGCCAATCTAGTACTGCACTTAAATTTCTAAAGTCAAATACCAAAGAAGAAAGCTCATTAGAACCCTGAAAATATTTACAGAAAAGATACAGGGAAGATACAGGGAAGATACATTAGGGAAGTGCCGAGATGCCAGGTCTGAATTGATGACATTAGACCGATTTTTTATCAAGAATCTCTAAACACATAGCAGAAGCACCAGACTGAAGGTGGCAGCAATATTCAATGTATGGTCAAGTGGCAGACTTATAAATGTGTAAGATAGATTATGGTGAGGAAAATTGTCTAGCATGAGACAAAAGTAAAAGAAGCAAAAAAGATAAGTGTCAATGCAAGAATTATACTTTCTTGTCAAAGCTCAATTATGCCACAAAATGACAATGGGGTTTATAAAAATGCATAATGACATAATATAAACCTAAAATTTCACATTCAACTGAGTGCATCAGTTAAAGAGGCACCTTGATTAATTTTTGGTAAAAATGAACAATGAGAAACCATAACAGCAGCAAAGGAAGGTATATAATCAAAAACTTTTGAGAAGTGCATAAGAAATGATTAGGATATCAGAGGAGAAAGAACAATAATGTAGGTTTTAAGAAGAGAAGAAAAACAATCTAGATAGCTGAAGACAAAAGATAAACGAGGAAAAAGAACACTTTGGATAAACGAGGAAAGAGAACACTTTGGATAAACGAGGAAAAAGAACACTTTGGATAAACGAGGAAAAAGAACACTTTGGATAAACGAGGAAAAAGAACACTTTGGATAAACGAGGAAAAAGAACACTTTGGATAAACGAGGAAAAAGATGATGTTTAATTTTAAGAAATGTAAGAAAAGCAATTTAAATAGATAAAGATGTACTATTTTGATAAGCAAGATAAAAATTAGACTATTGTTAATAGAGGATAATGTTGGTTTTAAAAGCAACATTATCAGTTTTTACAAAAATATCCTTTACTATCAATAGGCTCATTTTTATTTTGTCCTTCATAAAGGAACAGAGAAAATGGAAACAAAAAAGAAACTTATACTTAACAGCAGAAAGAGACAGTTGAAATTTCTAGGGCACATAATGAGGAAAGAGGGTTTGGAAAATCTGATACTCACTAGACAGATTGAACACAAGAGGGACAGTGGAAAACAGCACATAAAATATTTAGTGAGCTTAAGTAAGTGGATGGCGGAACAAGGTTTAGGAGAAATAACAAAAAGACAAAATTTATTAAAAGATACAAAGGACAGGAAATTGTGGAGAGCCATGATCACCTACATCCTAAAGGGACATGGCATATAGCAGAAAGAAAAAAACAATAATAGATTGGTTAGATTTTAAAAAAATTAACTTCTCTATGATTAAAAGAGACAAAAGATGATTATATAGCTATCTAGAGTATACTGAATTTATAAAAAAAAAATGTAGAGAAATAAATTTCCAAATAGATTTTTATGACTGGGTGAGAAGATAATAAAAGAAAATGGGTTAATTTGCAGTGTAACACCCTTGCTCAGTTTACATCAAAAATTTCCAGAATACTTACATGCCTCATTTGAATCTGACTAGATAAATTTGATTTTCGAGTTATTGACAGTGAAAGTTTGGATTCATTCACATTGTGGGCAGCCATTACTGGCGTTGTTTGCATACATTCACTGCAGAATAGCTATCATTGTAGGTATCATTGTGCAAACTGAGCGTGTCTACATAAATAGTTCTTGTGTGCAGTAAATGAGACAAATTTAGACAATAAAGATCACTTTCGCTCTTAGCTTTCTGTAGTTTTCCATGTTTAGCTTTCTGCAGCAAATGTATGCAAGCAATGACAGTAAAGATTGCTGCCAACGATGTGAATGAATCCGAACTTTCACTGTTGATAACTCCAAAACAGTGGATTTCATCAAATTTATCAAGCCAAATTCAAATGGAGCATGTACAATTATACATAAATGTAAGTATTCTGCAAATTAACCAGAAAATGTTACAATAGAGATTCCTGTATAAATAAAAAACATGGTAATTGTCATGACTTTTAATTTGTCTTTTCATCTTACTTTTATTGCTTTCTTTATTATAATGCTTAAGTTGTTTTATGTTCTACAACCTTTAAGCAAGCAACACTTTTGATTTTTGTTTGCTTGATTTATAACCTGAATCTTGTAACTAAAAATAAAGAAGCAACCAAAAGGAGATGACAAGAAACTGGTCAAAATAATAACTAGGCTGCAAAAAAATTTGAACAACTTAAGACCATTATAAATTTAGTTTCTTTGACTATCTGAAACCTGGAAGAAGTCTATACTTACCGTGTGAAAGCCACAAGGAAATCACATACAACATCCCTTTGTCCCTTCGTCAAAGAACGGCACTTGGTATATCTATATACAGTATTCAGTGTATTATCCAACAAAGCTGACACGTGGTCAGCATCCCTGAAGAAGCTGCAGTGAGATGTCATCAGGGGTAGGACGGAGCTGCAGAGGTAACGATTCAAGGCTAAAGCCATATCACTTTCAGCGGTAGATACCTGGGAAGAATGAACAAAAGGAAAAAAAAAAAAAAACTTTGAAAAGGTTAAAGAGAACAAAGTTAAAATATAACAGGATGATCTTCAATATGAGCAAAGAGTAAAACAAAATTAAAAAAAAGAGCTGAGCTTCAGTATCAAAGACGGTAATGAGATTATGAGGTGTTTCCCTACAAGCAGCCATTTGGATTCATTGACCGAGCAATCATTACTGCTTTCAGTTGAAATATATAAAATCTTTAAACAATTTTTCAGGAAAATTGGTCTCTCAAGCCCAGTAGCTTTTATCAATCTTTCCAGTATTGATCAGGGTTTCCTATGATACTAAACAAATGTACATGACTGAGAATTTAGACAAGAAGACAGAATAAATGGTTGTTAGCAAAAGGGAGAGCTCAAAATGTGAATTACAAGCTGGGGACACCAAAATTAAGTAAGTACAAAAATTTAAATATCTAACAAGTGTTTTAACAGAGGACAGAAAATGCAACACTGAAATACGAAAGCACATTGAGTACGAAGAAATAGTTTTCTATTTTGTTCTTTATCCAGAACTTATACCAGGAACAAACTGCCTGCAGGCAGATTAAAAATGAATTCAGTAAATATACTAAAATAGAAAGGGCTGTAAAACAAGGATTTTCTCACTGGACTTATTCAACCTTTACAGTGAAACAATCTTGAGACAATTCTAAGTCCTACCAGGATTCATTATTGGCAGCCAAAATCTTAACATTTGATATACAGATGACACAGTACTGATAGAAGTTACAGAAATGGAAATATAGGAACTACTACAGAAGGTAGTAAAGGAAAGCAAAAAGAAAGGACTAACCATCAACTGTAAGAAAAGAGAATGTATAGTTGTCATGATCTCCAACATGCAAATTAAAAATTGGAGACACCAAAATCAAGCAAGTAAAAACAATTTAAATATCTAGGATGTGTTTTACAGGACAGAAATATGAAAACACATTATAATAGTGATAAATGCATTCTAAAAGCTAAGCAATGTATTAAGAAACAGGAAAATTTAATTAGAAACAAAGAAAAAGTGTATTGAAATGTTATGCAATATCATTCATCATATATGGCAGTAAAATAACTACAGGAATTGATAAAGACATTTCTGGTGATGAGGGGGGGACTCAAACTCTTGATAATTTACCTCATCCAGTGTAGTGGCAGCTCTTAGATCAGGCAAGAAACCGTCTTCCAGTAGCTTGAAGAAGACATTACGGTCTGGGATTCCATAAACTCTTTCCAAAAACAGCACAATGGCTGCTTTGTGAGCAGGGAGTAATCCAGGAGGCAAGGGAACTGGTACACCTTCTACAAAACAGAAATAAGTAAGTGAGGTAGGAAAATTGTAGATATAATTTAATTACAAATAATATCCTTATACTATCAATAACTTTGAGAAGAGTCATGAACATAATTAACATTATGTGGATGTTGAGATTTCAATGCATGAATAATGTTGGATAAACATTCTAATACACAAGCTAAATGTGACACACACAAACACACATATATATATATATATATATATATATATATATAATATAAAAGGCTCAAACGCTAATATTCCATGGTTATAATTTATAACATTAGAATCGTAATCACGATCCAATTCATCAGACCTACAAATACAAAAAGAAATCGGAAAATATAACTCTGGGTATATTTTTCAATTTCTTTTTGAATTTGTAGATCTGATGAATTGGATCATAATTACGATTCCAATGTAATAAATTATAACCATGGAATATTAGTGTTTGAGCCTTTTATATTATATTCTTACTCTGTTCTGGACATTGAGTTCTATCCTCTTGGGAATATATATATATATAGATCACTAATATTATCAATATATGTATATATATATATATATATATTTATATACACACACGCACATGCATGCATGCACACACACAGAGAAGACACAATGGGTAAATTGTTGCCATTTTATATTTTTAATCTTGTGCCTTTGTGTTGTTTTTGATTCTGTTGACTGCACAGTAGAGTAGGGTCAGTTTGGCACTGTTTTTGAGAAAAAGAGCATCATGATGCAACTCACTCTGCCAGAAATTTAGAGACAGCATGCTGTACTGCTTGGCATTAATGCCAGAAGCTCTAATACAAACATTTCAGAGTGTTTGGGTGTCAATCTGAGGACAGTGCAGAGAATTTGAAGAGAGTTGGAAGAGTCCAATGGTGATTACAAATGTATGACAGCTTGGAAACCCACTCTGATTGTTCTGATAAGAAAAGAACTCCTGAATTTGTTGGTGAGGACCTCAGACTCAACATGGAGGCCTACATCAAGTGCTTTGAGGAGATAGTGCTAACCTGGGTAAAGAGGGTGGCTGCTGGAAGACCCTATGTCTGGCAACAAGACTCAGCATCATGCCTCAAAAGCTAGAGAACCCAGTCATGCCTGTTGGACAATTTCTGTGACCACATCTAACTTCCCAGACTGAACCCCCCTTGATTATTATGTGTGGGGTGCAGTTGAGTGAGAGACCAACAAAACTTCTTGTAACTCCAAAAATGAACTGAAGGCAAGGATTATGGCAGCATTCACCAACTTAAACAAGAAGTCTATCCAGAAGAGTTGCAAGAGATTCTGAAGTCATCTAGAGGGTGTGGTTGAAGCCAATGGTGATTTTATTGAATAAATTTACTCTTTAGTATTTCAAAATATTTTTGTAATTTTGGTAAATATATCTGTTGAAATAAGATGTCAGTGTTATTTTCATTTTTGTGTAATGTAGATGACAATTTATCCTTCGCATCCTGTATGTGTGTGTGTGTGTGTGTATATATATATATATATATATATATATATATATATATATATATACACACACAGTAATATTAGTAATAGTATTACATAACAAAATCCCAAATTACCTCATATGGGAGGTGGGTATAGATCTCTTTCAACTGATGAAAACTACATAGATCTTATTTGTATGTCTTTTTATAGACTATACAGCAAGGTTGAATAAGACTGACATGTTTTTCTTGGTTGAAATAAATCTATACCCCCCCATATGTGGTAATTTTGAATATATATATATATATATATATATATATATATATATATATATATATATATTTATATATATATATAGCATATATTTGTATGTATCAATATAATACTAGCTTAAAAGCCACCCAATATGGGTGACATTTAAGCTAACATCACAATATCAGGGAGGAGTAGATGTAATAGGCATCAATAAATTACAGAAGAACTCAAAATTCATCACTGCATTATTATGCAATTAGTATTGCATTAATACTTAAGCTTACCTTTTAAAAGGTTCAACGATAATTGTTCTACTGCCACTTAATTTAAAGACAATTTGATGTACATAGGTCCTTACTTTCCGTACAAACAATTATTTTTATTTCATGGGTGACTTCTACTAGATTTTGCAGTTAATTTTAATTATTCCCAAATTTATTTCCAAGTTATAAAAATTATTGTACAAAAAAATTTGTTGCAAAAAAATCACGTACTCCCCGCCCCCCAAAAAAAACAAGTAAACAAACAAAAAAAAAAAACAATGCTGAAAACAATCATAGTAATGAAAACTTGGGAATATAAAATTTCAGGAATGTGAATCTGGATCAGGCCCAAAATGTTTTTAATTTGCCCAGAGTCAGCCTGATTCAAAAATGGTATGATATGTTGGGCTACAGGCTCTAGTAGTAAAGTTGAAAAAGTGTGACACAGTGACACACTGACATATATGTTGGCATAATTTAAAATTTATCTTTGTTGCATTTGTGGATGTGTTGTGATACAAAAAGTTTCCTGTTATCTGGCAATTTAATGTTGCTTTTGTGAAAGGAAACACTGTTGTTTAGTGATTGGGTGATATCTATATAGGATTTGTTGCATTTTGTGCACTTGAGTACATATATCACATTTTTGGAGTTGCAGTTAAAATTTGCCAATATATCAAACAGACAATTACTTTCATCTACAAATGCAAGAAAAAAAATTCATAGACAAATTTAAAGCAGCATTAACAAATCATAACCTCACACACAAACACCTACCATACACACACATAGTAGCCAAACAGACTAGTCAGACCACACACATCATACAAAATACATGTAGTTACTGTATAAATTTATTTATAATAATATAATACATAGTATATATGTATGGAGAATGAATATATACACACATACTGACAAAAACAAACACACTAGATGGATCACATGCACTCATGAGCCCTACACATCATAGAAGGTATATATATATATATATATATATATATATATACACACACTATTTCCTTGTAATAAAACAATACACATACTAGCAAAAACACACACACTCAAAATACACAACAATGGCGAAAAATTTAAAATGATAGAGGACATAAAAAGATAAGATCAACGACCTCAGCCATTATCCCTTTCTCTGACCAATCCTAATTGTTTTATTACCACTTAAGCAAAGGAATATTTTTCCACCAGTCCAAGAAAAATTTGGATTACTACTACACACAAAAGATAATATATTTGTGTGTGTGTGTATATATATATATATATATATAGTATATATTTGTGTGTATGTGTGTTTTTTTTTTCCTTACAGTATGGTTCACCCTTTACAAGACTCAGGGCCACTCGCAGTTGAGGATTAAGATTAGGGGTAGTTTATATAGATAGGAGGGGAAGATAATGGTTGACGCTGGACTTGAATGGTTAAGCTTGTAGTGATTGGGGAAACATCCTCTCAGCAGTCTGTTCTATATGACAGGGGTTCGCAGGAAGCAGCTATATTTGTGTGTGTGTCTGTGTGTGTGTATATATATATATATATATATATATATATATATGACAGACAAGAGTAATGGTGATTATGAAATATAATCTAATATAATCTAATAACTATATTTATTTTTCTTTTAGGATATATGATTTGTAAAAATGTAACCAACCTTCTAGTGTTCCAAAGCCAGTTGGCAGGATGAAGCGTAGTCCAAGTACCCCTTCTAGGTCTTCCATTGATACCAAACTGCGAAGGATGGCACGAGCTCTGAGTGAATTACTGCGCCCTGCTTTGATTGTTTCAGCATCTGGTGCACAACGTCCCAGTAAGTCTACTAGACTTGAGTAGAAGTTCAGAATGGCACCTCCCATATCAATGTAATCTTCATCATCATCAGGAGGTAAAGTACTGAAGTCATATTTGCTGTAAAGTAACATTGGTAAATATCCATAGTTTATAAATGTATACAGCATTAACTGCAAACAAAAACATTTAAGATTTTTGAATTTCTTATAAAGAAACCAAAAACTAAATTACATTATCTTCCACTGTCAAATGAATAACTTTTTTTTGAATATTTCATTTTATGTGTTATATGGTAATAATAAACAAAGTACAAAAGCTATTAGGTTGAGGTGTAAATAATTTCTGTTTTTTGAACTGATTCTATGACAAACATATCCTCTGCCTGCAAAACAAAACTGCTTTTATCTAATCATCACAAAGAACCATTTTTATCTTCCATCAAGCTATGCTGATGGAAGGGGAGCAAAACTTTGACCATGACGGAAGGGGAGCAAAACTTTGACCATGACGGAAGGGGAGCAAAACTTTGACCATGACGGAAGGGGAGCAAAACTTTGACCATGACGGAAGGGGAGCAAAACTTTGACCATGACGGAAGGGGAGCAAAACTTTGACCATGACGGAAGGGGAGCAAAATGCAAAACTTTGTAAATTCTTGGTCTCATGTTTTCCATTGACATGAAGTGGAGTGACTAAATTGAATCAATAGCTATGTCTACTGGTAGGATAGTTTTTTCACAGTGTCCTATCCAGAAAATATTTCTCATCAGAACCTATCATGCACATTTATAAATCTCACCATTTGTCCATGCATTGAATACTACTGCCATATCTGGTTTGGGACTCTTGCTGTATATCTCTAGATTCTTGACAAAATTTGAAAATGGGAGCTGTCTTGATGATCTTTTTTTCCTAAGTGCCTTGACTGCATGCTATTAGATTGGCAACTAAGTCTCACTGTTTTATTGTTGAACTAGATGCAATTGTCAGTTCTATTCTAATAGTCTCTTTTCTTGCACTTCTCACCTGTAAAACTCCCTTCCAATTTCTTGTTTCCCTGCCGCCTACAATCTTCAAAAATTTAAATGCAACATCAATCTTAATGAAACCTGTTACTTTATTGCCTTTTCTCCTCACTTCCCCTTACTAAAGTCTTCTCTTTCTCTGTCTATCCCTGTAACCCCTGCATCCTTGTAGCATTATCAACTTGCCTGAGGGGGGAAACTAATCACATGTGGTAGTTAAGAATACATATAGTGTTCACTAACATATGACAAATGTTCAGCACAAAAGGCAGTGGATTTACAAGGATAAATCTCCAAAATCTATCACAAAATCTGAAATCCATGCCAGGAAGGTAATGTGTGATGTGATTGCTGAGGTATTATTTAAAACTTTAGAATTCTTGAAATGCAATGAAAGACTAAATGTACATTTAAATGTCCAGTAGCTGCAACATGTCCATAAGAGTTTGGTTGAAAAGTATCCTGTGCTCATTAATAGGAAAAATGTTACTTTCTTTCTTGATCATGCAAAGCTGCATATGACAAGAATAAAATAGGAAAAAAAAATTCAAAGTTCACTGTTGATCTATTTTATCCCACCCACCATACTCCCCTGACCTTGCACCAACCAATTATTACCTTTTTTTGACCCCTGCAAAATGAATTGATAGAGAAAACTTTCTCTTAGAAAAACCAGATTTAAAAGCTTTTGAAAAATTTTTTTATATCAAAACCTGCAGGAATTTACTCAAAGAGCTGTCTACTAAGTATCAACAAGTCATTGCAAATAATGATGAATATATAACTGAATAAAATGTAATTGTACTTTTTTTTAAGAATAAGTTGTTAAACAAAAATGGAAATTATTTAAGACTCATCCTAATATCTGCTGGTAAGATTTTGAAATAAAAAAAAAAATACACTCACAATTTTTCCCTGATGTTGATAATGGACCAAAGTATGTTGAAGAGCATGAGCAGACAGTTATTTGGATCGTATCAACATTCAATAAATTCAGACTTGTGTTGTTGTGTAAATAAACAATTATAAAGCTTTTTGTTAATATTCTCTTTGACTGTTAGAGCAAAAAGCACAAAACACATTTCTTTGTTTACAGTCCTTAATGAAACTTGTAATAATCAAAGTTTATTGAATAAAACAACAAAATCGAGAAAAGATTGCTGCATAAAAGATCAGGAACTTCAAGCAGTATACATGGGACTTAACCCAGACCTCAAGTTGCTAAAGATACTAGAAAAATCGTTGGTTCTCTGTACTGCTCTAGTAAGTACATGATAACTCCTGCTATCCTCTACCTTTACAAGAGCTAGATCAGGCTGAAAATGGAGTACTTCTGCCATATATGGCAGGAGCTGCTCAGTCTTCACTTTCCAGGCTCAATAGAATCCAAAACCATCTTTGTGTCCTTGTGGGTGATGAATTATTTTCCATGATGAGCCATTCAAGGCAGATGGTTATGGAGGAAGAGGCAAAGTTTATGGAGATATGTGGGGAAGATAATGGTTAACCCTTGACTTGAACAGGTTAAGATTGTAGTGATTGGGGAAGCATCCTCTTGGGAGTTGGTTTCACAATATTACAACCATTCTAAAACTGTTGTTAATACAAAACATGAAATGTGTCCTTGCAATAAAATCAAATATCTCACCTTTGGAACAGATATTCTCCACCTGTGTCATCATCATCATTGATGACTGTGAGTAAGTTGGATGCATTAGTGTCTTTGGATGCTGCTATTTGTTCTGACATTTTTATGCCATCTCGAGTGGCCTTCAGTAAGCCACCTCCCTCACCTCGCAATGCTGGGCCCAAACACTCGGGTCGACGGATGAGAAGACGCACAACTAGATTAGCGTTCTCCTCAACACTTTCACCTGTAAATAAAACAAAAGAAAATAAATTAACATTAGTTTTGATTATTAGAATAATTCAGGTTGTGTTATTGAGTTTATGATATCACTGTGATTTCTAATTTTGAATAAACTGACTGGGAAAGAAATAAAAAAAAATTTATATATCTGAACAATTTTAGAAAAATCTATGAAAAATTTACATCCAGGTTCTTAAAATATTTCACCTTTTTTGGCAGATCTATTGTCACAATGTGGCAAATTTAATAACAGAAGTAATAAAATTGAAAAGAAAAAGAAACTGAGCTATATACTGAAAACACAATTTTAATTTTTAATTTAAAATTTCTCCTTCAGGCATATATGTAATCACATCAATGTAAACAACACTTTTGTCCAATGAAGTCTTAAAGGACAAAATGTGTCACAAGATGTGTCACAAGAAATATTAAAAGTTTTAGATGAAGCATTTTCAGTATTATTTTATTACTAGTTTTACTTCATTTTATTATTGTTGCTTTTTAGATGAAGTATTTTCTCTATTATTTTGTTACTAGTTCTATTCCATTTTATTACTGTTGCTTCTTAAATAAAGTATTTTCCTATTATTTCATTATGAGTCATATTCTATCACAGTATCAGTGTTTTTTAGATAAAACACTTACTATTCATAGTTTGACCCCATTTTCATGTTGATTTTCCATGCTACCTTAAACAAAAGGTTAGGAAGTAAACTCCTATCAATACAGAAAGATTTCTTTTAGTTGAACTTGTTTAGCAGCAAATCAACCTCTATGGATTATTTAATGCTGAAATTTAATATTTTGTATGCATCTTTTTATTTTTGAGATAATAATGGTTTTAGTGATATTGGGTAAAATTGGGGTAAAAGAGGTGAACTCGTATCTTTCCCAAGAGTATTTGTGTATGTGAATATAATGAACCCATGGGTATTGGAATTTGGCTAACTGATTAACAATTTCAAACCGTTATACATTCAGTTAGTTATGTGCCATGCATAATACACGCAGAGGCGATCATGTATCTTTTGATATATGACTGACGAGGCATATTTTTTTCATGCAGTAGGTTTCTTTCTACAGTAGACCAGTTGCCATCCAAGGCTATAGAACCTGGTCTGTCCTGCTATTTACTCATAGAGAGAAGAGGATTCATACCTTTCCCAAGGGTATTAGCACATAAGTGAATGTAATGAATTTGACTGGAATTCAAACTCGGATCTTTAATACCTCAATCGAAGCCACTATCCACTGGTGGACTGGGTCAAAAATTTCTACCAGAAAAACTTGTAAAAGAGCCAGTCAAAAGGATTCACTTAATCTCTAAACATAGTCAAAGAAATCAAATAAAGAAATTATATTTTAAGACATTTTTATGTTTATACATTCTTTTTATAGATACAAATATTTAAGTAAATGTTCTGTTTTATAATAAGCAGTATTAATAACATTTACCAGCCTTAATGTCTGAGAAATTTTCATAGAAAATATTCATCCTCAGACAGGAATCAAACCTGTATCCTATATGGAACTGTCATTTAGCCTGATGTGTCTCAACCGATTGAGCCACGGAGGATCGTTCGATTAGCAAGGTCAATTTAACGGATTTTAAACTTCAATCTTTCATGAATCTCTCACGTACATTTCATATCTGTTCAAAGCATATCTAAATGTAAACAAATGACGTCACACATTATGAAATGAACAATTATTTTAAGACATTTTATGTTTATACATTCTTTTTATAGATACAAATATTTAAGTAAATGTTCTGTTTTATAATAAGCAGTATTAATAACATTTACCAGCCTTAATGTCTGAGAAATTTTCATAGAAAATATTCATCCTCAGACAGGAATCAAACCTGTATCCTATATGGAACTGTCATTTAGCCTGATGTGTCTCAACCGATTGAGCCACGGAGGATCGATTCGATTAGCAAGGTCAATTTAACGGATTTTAAACTTCAATCTTCCATGAATCTCTCACGTACATTTCATATCTGTTCAAAAGCATATCTAAATGTAAACAAATGATGTCACACATTATGAAATGAACAATTATTTTAAGACATTTTATGTTTATACATTCTTTTTATAGATACAAATATTTAAGTAAATGTTCTGTTTTATAATAAGCAGTATTAATAACATTTACCAGCCTTAATGTCTGAGAAATTTTCATAGAAAATATTCATCCTCAGACAGGAATCAAACCTGTATCCTATATGGAACTGTCATTTAGCCTGATGTGTCTCAACCGATTGAGCCACGGAGGATCGTTCGATTAGCAAGGTCAATTTAACGGATTTTAAACTTCAATCTTCCATGAATCTCTCACGTACATTTCATATCTGTTCAAAGCATATCTAAATGTAAACAAATGACGTCACACATTATGAAATGAACAATTATTTTAAGACATTTTATGTTTATACATTCTTTTTATAGATAAACATAAAAATATCTTAAAATAATTGTTGGACTTTGTCCATTTCCTACATTTTTCAACCGATTTCAACAAAACTTCACGTTTTTTTGGCAGGTAGTGTTTCTTATTGTCTTGCACACTTTTTTCTTTATTTTTACATTCAGAATGCTTTAAAAATTCCTTTTACAAGACAATTGTTTATAATAAAATTCTATTCAATCGGTAGACTCATAACGATTGAAAACAATGTTTTTGTTTGAGTTTGGGTTTGACCAATTTGTAAAAAAAAAAAAATAATCTAATTAAGACATGCGTGTCTGTCAACCTTAAACAATAATCTTTGTCAATTTTATTTTTCAGTCTTTATGATGGTCAATACTTGATCTATCTCTTACTGTTACATCCCCGGGCAATGCCGGGCTCTACTGCTAGTGGTAACTATTCAGTCAGTTGAGAATGCTGATTGCTTCCTGTATGGAAATGGTTAATCTTACCATTACCATTTCATTATTGTTATTCCTTAAAAACAAATAAAATACAAATATTATTTGTGATTATTTTCAAGGTTAATTTATATAACTAGAATTTTTTTGCAACACACTGACACATGTTGAAATCTTCATAGTATTGTTAAAGTTATCACTAACATTTTTTGTTGAGATTTACAAACTCTGTTTTGTTTAATTTCGCAAAGCAATCAATGAAATTTTGAATAAGCTGATTTGTTTGGAAAAATACTTTGACAAAAACCCTACTTTGTGGTTTAATAATTTCTTTAATTTAATCTTATAGGATTTCATGGTAAACAATATTTTTTAAGAAAATTTATTTTTTTCCTTTTTAACAGCAAAGAATAAATTCTGAGGATTTCTTACTCTTGAGCATGCAAAATACAACTGGCCATGTATAAATCTTTATTTCTGGAACCAAATTTCAAATTTTTGAAGGATTTGGCCTTGTGATTTGTTTATAGTTCTCTCAAATGCAGGGTGAACTGGTTTGGTTTGTTTTACCAGCAGATCAACCCCTGTGGGTGATTTGATGCTGAAAAATTGGACTTTTATTCAATATTTTAGAAAGTTTTATTATTTGTGAAATATAATTGAAAACTGGTTGCATAGTTCATCTATAGATGAAGTTGTCTGGGCTAAAGTTTGGTGTATAATCTCAATTTCCTCAAGTAGGTCAAAATGGTTTTTACATTAATGTATTTGAAAAGTTCTTTAAGGCTATTTCACCTTATAAAGGCAATTATGGCCAGAAGCAAATTCTGCAAAGTCCATCATAAAATGTTTTGTGGTGTGTGTCTTCTGGCATACTATACATTTAGGTGCATCCTTATCTTTTAAAAGGAATGAATGTGTGATATTGGTATGACTAATTCTGAGTCTTACTAAGACTACTACTTCTCTGCGGGAAAGAATGGTGTTATGGTATCTCATCCCAAGTGTAGGTTTGATTTTGTACAGTTTATTATTTGGGTGAGTATTCCACATTTCTTGCCACTTATTTAAGATTATATATATATATATATATATATATATATAACGGTTTTGAAATCTGTGTGAGGAACTTTGTTTTTGATATATGCATTTTTAGTGATTTTTTACCTGCCATATCTGCCTTTCCATTTCCCTGGATACCTATATGGTTAGGGATCTGGGTTGAACTGGATTCTTGTATATATAAAAACTTAAAGATATGCAAAAAAACAATATTGCATTTTTATTAAATAAGTATTTTTTTAAAATAGTGGGAGTATTTTGTATGCTAAATAACAAAATTTTTGTACCCCCTTACCTGTTTGCACTTCTCCACAAAAATTTGGTTTTGATCGGTCAATGTCTGGCTAGTTTAGTGGGTGTGACAGACTAACAGAAGTTACAGAATTTTATATATAGATAAACATTTACCTGTTTTTTCTTATGGAAATGAAATAATCAAAATTTAAACTTTAAACAAAGTAAATTGAATTTTAAGAAGCAACTATATAAATAACACTTTTGACTGGAATTTTGTCAAATAATCAAAGTGAAATGTTTCTTCATACCATTAAGAAATTATTGCAATAATTCTTTAACTTACCGTTTACCCAGACACAGAATCTGAAGAAATCCAGGTATCTTTCTCCTTCAACTGGATCCCAGCCAATGTCAGGATATCCTTTCTCCAGCAATTCAGCATTGCTCTGGAGACCACAACGCGATAGGTAGACGGTGATTCTTTCAAGATTGGACTCACGCAAAGCAAGGGCCAATTCGTTGTTATCCATTAGGGAGGAATAGGCCACATCAAGTGGGCATGAGCCGCGTAAAGATGGACGAGCTGAGAAGAATAAAACAATATGGAATAAACATGAATACTACTTATTCATTCTTTATCAGATATTTGAAATATAAACAGTAATATAAAAGTATTTATAATATATATATATATATATATATATCTCTTGAAAATGACCTTCATTCAATTATTAACCTTTTTTACCTTCTATCTAAATGGCTGATGTTAATCTCCAAGAAAGCAACTTTTCTTTGACTCACATTTTCTATTGGCATGAATATTGAATCAATTGCTATGTCTATGGTTATGGGTTCACTGTGTCCAGTCAGACAATTTTCCTCATCAGAATCCACCTTGCATATTTATAAATCTACCATTTGTCCATGCATTAAATATTGCTGTCATGTGCCATCTGGAGCTGTCACTTGATTGAATTAGAAATACAGAAGATGTGTGTCAAGGAACCCATGAAAAAATTGGAGATTAAAGCCAATGTTATAGTTAACTCATTTAATATCATCTCATTGCATCTTCTCAGTTTCACGTTTTCCACCATCAGGAAGTAGAATGATTATATTGAATCAATTGCTAAGTTTGCTGCTTGGAAAGTTGATTCATTCTTTCTTGCCAGACAATTTTTCAAGCCAGAATCCATCTTGCATGGTCTGGTGCTCCTGCTATATATCTTCAGATTCTTGACAAAATCAAAAGTAAGGTTTGTAATGTTATAAATTCTGATCTGGCATCTCAACTTCAGTCACTTACCTGTCATTACAATATGGCTTTCCTGTATCTTTTGTATAAATACTTTTATGGCAATTGTTCTAATGAGTTCTACTCCTTGGTACTTCAATTGCATGAATTTAATCATAGTACTAGATTGGCAGTTAGGTCTCATTCTATTGTTGAAATAGCTAGTTTTTTTGGGTTTTTTTTTTTTTCATATTTTTGCCTATGGAACTCTCTTCCAGTTCCTTGTTTCCCTGCCATGTACAATCTTCAAAAATGTAAACACAATGTTAATTGCCATCTTCTGTTTGCCTGAATCCCATTTGTCTGCTGACTTTTTTCATCTCTGAAGTTTTCTCATTATCTTTCACCTCTAGTAAACTCTTACATCTTAGTGGCATTACTATGGCATTTATGATATTATAATTAAATTAGTTACAAATCAGTTATATAAGAAATTTAATATTAAATTGAATTATAAACTGCATATGTTAATATAAGTACTGAAAAAAATTATAGACCATTGAAAGTTCTATCAATGGTCATAATAAAAAATCTCCAAAACTCTGGTTCCACCAACTATTTACTTAAGCTTGCTAGGTAGGTTATGAGTTGTTTTCCTTTGTCTCTCATGCCTTCAATATGTCCTGTGAGTATCAAATTTTCCAAGCCCTTTTTCCTCATTATGTGTCTAAGTAATTCAATTGTCTCTTTCCGATTCTAAGTATATATGCCCTTTTCATTTTCACTCAAACTTTGTTGCCTAACATGTTTGGTCCATTGGCCATTATTCATTACCATTTAGGAAAACATATGTAACAGTTCAGAACTCTTTTCTTTGTTTCTAATGACATTTTTCTGTTTCTTAATAATTTGCTTAGCTTTTGAAAGGCATTTTTTGCTATGCCAATGCACCTTCAGATTTCAGTGTTGCTCTTTCTGTCCTCTATTAAGATTCTTGTTCTTTAATTACAATGGCTTTGATAAAAGTACACAAAGTGTGCTAAAAGGAAAACAAATGTCTCAGGCTTCCAAATTTAGTCTTCAACTTTTCAATTGTCATACTTCACCTCTGAATGAGAGTATGTATATCTATCTTGTAGAAACATCTTTGTTACTTTCTGAGCCATGTGGAAACTTTTGCTTTTGCCTCATTTGTCAATGGAAGGCAGTGGGGGTGTGATCAAAGTTATGCAGCTCCAGAAGCTCTTGGGTTACAATTACCCTTTGCTTTTTCATGGAATCTGTCAGCATTCTGGGAACCCATTTTCCACAGGTTGTTGAGGAGCCAAGAGACTACATGAAATTGCAGGAATAACCATGGATCACCTGGAGGCTTTTACATAATTTTATACAGGTGAGTCAGCTGTACTGAGAACATCAGTCTGTTTGATCCTATCCTCATTCACAGAAGCAGCTGGCCTGCCACTGAAAGGCCTCACCTTAAGGTTCCTTAAGTTTCTCTTTTCTCTCTTGGACTGTCATTAATACTAATGACCCATCTTATTGTGCTTGCATCAAGTGCAGCCATTCTATAAACATTCACTAACCTCTGTTGAATGTTTGCAGTACTTTATTTTTCCAAAAACAAATTCTATGATAGATTGAATTCAATGTGTTCCTTAACAGACAGCCATTTTGAAAGATGATTATGAGTAGGAAAAATGAAATTTACTGCACAAAAATTTCCCTTAGACTCACAAAGTTTATGGGTCATTGTTAAAAACCAGCTCCAAGAATTTTGACTAATACTTTTATAATTAAATTAAAGGCAATATTTTAGACTGATCATTGTAATTAGTAGATATTTACTTGAATCCCACTGAGTCAGGTTGTGAAACAAGGTCATTTTTTAACGTGGGGACCCGAGTGTTTTCACTCAGGCCGCTGATCCAAGATGGTCTTAGCTAGTCATAGCTGGTCTTGGCTTGTCATCGCCATGATACCCATCAGCACAGGGACTGATCCCTGTGCCAGGTAAGTATGATCATTATAATTAATATTTCCCTTTGCTGTTTATATAAATAAGAAAAGTAACTTTTCTATATGTTGTATATTTTATATTTAAAATTTAGGATAGTTTCAAATATAAACACGTAGGTGTGTGTGTGTGGTGGGGGAGCTAGAATAACAACATCAAAGGCAAGATTTCCAATTTTACAAAGCATTCCATTACTTACCGAGCAACATGCTGCTATTTTCTAAAAGGTAGCTGAGATGTTCAAACATTGCACGTTGATTTTGGCGACTGATGCGACAGAAATAACACAAGAAGCGACAACACATCACAACCATTTCTGCTGCAGCATCTTGCTACAAAGAGGAATGAAAAGAAAATTAAAAGAAATGTCATAAAAACTGTTAAAATAGCAAATAACTACAATTGTGACAATCACAGAAATGATAAAGTCTGGGGTTGACAGGTTGGGCTATATTTGAATAGTAATATTAGTAGTTTTATATTACAGAAATATTTGGCATTTACTCTTTTAGCAATACTGTTTAGTCCAACAGTATTGCTATTTTTTGAAGTTTATAGAATCTTTTTATTTTCAAAAAAGATTTTTCAGGAAAATCGGTTTCTCAAGTTCACTAACTTTCTACTATTGATGGGGTTTCCTTCAAAACCTTTTGTTTTGCTTTGTTTTACGGCATCTCAACGTCAGTGGGCTATTTAATGTGACACAATTTTTATTGCTGGTAATATATATTTTTGTTTCAAAAATGTATTTCTGGTAATATTTTTTCCTTCAAAAAATCTGTTGCAGGTAATATCTTTTTTTCCAAGAAAGTATTGCTGCTAATAATTTTTTTACAAAGTATTTATGGTATTAAAGCCTTATACTTTCATAGTGCTTTGTTCCCAGTTTGGGGTTAACTATTTGCCCATAGCTGGGACCCTAACAGGTGCTACCACCCCAAATCAAGGTGGACCTGAGAACACCAGCAATTAAGAGGCGGTTCCACGCTCCTCAAAACCTCCTGATGAGGCCTTGCTGTTAGACATAGTTTATCATCTTACCCAGGATGCGTATGTAGTTTATCATCATACCCAGGATAGCCTTTTGTTTGAAGTAGTATGGAACGTCAACATCTTGAGTCTGTCATTATTTTCTCTTTGAGTTACATGTGCTATTTGTTTTCTTGCTTCTAAATGCTAATCACTATTAATGTTTTTTATTTTTGGGTTTTTATGAACTCCAATTTTCAAATAAGCTAGTCTATTACTGAGAATGTTAATTCTAGATATAGTTGTTCTGAGCTTTCAAATGTGGCTCAATGTTATGGCAACACCAATAATTGATATGTAATGTTTCATGTCCACCAATTTTTATATTTTTTATCAATATGCTTCAAAACAGCAAAGAGTTTATTGTTGGTGTGAAATTGTCAGAGTTAGCTCCTCCTTAGTTCCTTAATCCTTCACCAGGGGTCTCTCTCCCCTTGCTATAAATACTGGGTGACATTTTACCTCAATCTCTCTTTTCCTCTCAGGCCTTGGGCTATATCCACCTTGCATGGAGGTGAGGTAATTCTTTCTCTTCTTTCTTCATTTCAGTTAATACCAATATGTGAGCTCTCACCAATACAGTGTCTCCCAAATTCTGGGAACATGCTAAGAACAATACCAATACACGTATGTATGAACGCTCACCACAATACACACACATGATATTCACCACACAAATTCAATGTAATTGTCCATGTGCTTGTAACTTCTTGTTAATACATATATTTGTTTGTATATAGTTATCGGTTTCGTTTGTTTTCTTTGTCTTCTTTGGACTTAATTTAAGTCCAACATTTTCATGTAGCTGGACTGGCTAGCAGGAATTTTAACCCACGTGTGTTCTTTACATCTTCACCCCATGGTCCCCTACAGTATGATCCATCTCTCCATTAATGGATCTGTCCTGAACCCATATATTCAGAAGAACTCTACTGATATGCAGAGTTTATTAAAGCTTACTGATAAAGCAATATATATTGTTTCAAACAATTCTACTACAATTTAATAAACTCTTGTTGTTAACCATTTAAATAATGTCTAATTTACTGTCCAGAGAAACTTATTATTGCATCTGATGCCAAACTGCAATATCATCACTAGAGAATAACTTTCATGAACTTTGTGAGTATATACTGTGACCAGAGTTCTAATAAGCTACTATATCTCAACAAATATGTCTCAGCAGTTTACAAGTATTTTGTGGATGCATCTTCCTATGAAGAGGCTTTAACAGTACTGGACAAGATGTATATTAAAAAGAAAAATTAAATGAACTTTAGACATTTACTGGCTAGAAGGTATCAACTGCCCTCAGACTCCATTGATAGATTTTATCAAGCCTTGATAAAATTTAGTAAGCGCTGTTCATTTTATTTGGTATCAGCAGAATAATATTGAGCTGAATTGATAAAAGATGCCTTCATATGGTCCAGATATTCAACAAAGAATACTCGAAAAAAGCACCTTAACCTTACAGCAGGCCTATGATTGAGCAAGAGTACTAGATTTAACAGAACAACATGATAAAAATTACGATACAGAGACCCTTACCACCTACCCCACTTCATTGTATGAAACACAAGGCTTTTAAAAAATATCAGCTTTAACTGAATGCATGTTTTTTTTTTCTGAGAGGAAAGAGACATGCAGTGTCATTATGCCCCTCTAGAAGTTTCAGACAGATGTAGACCAACCTTCTCCATCTCCCATTTTTGGCCTTGTGCCATCTTTGTACATCATTTGTACAATAAATATCGTTCATTAAAACTTTCTGTTAAGTAAATTTGTATTATCTCAAACAATTCTACAAAATTTAATGAACACTCATTGTTAACTATTTTGATAATGACTAATTTACTCTGTTCAGAGATATTTACTATTAACCCCAATGCGTCTGACATCAAGTTGGAATATCGTGACTGGAAAATAACTTTCATGAACTTACTGCACGTACTGCAACCAAGTTCTAATAAGCTACACTATCACACCAAATATCTCCCAGCACAATTTTATGTGTATTTCACGGATGCATCTTTCTACAAAGAGTCTTTAACTATACTGGACAAGATCTACATTAAAAAGAAAAATGAAATGTTCTCTAGACATTTATTGGCTACAAGGCATTAACTCCCCTCAGATTCCATTGATGGATTTCATCAAGCCTTGATAAAGTTAAGTAAGGACTGTTCATTTTCTTTGGTACCAGCGGAATAATATCAAGCCAAATTGATACAACATGCCTTCATAAACAGGCTATGGTCCACAGATATCTGACAAAGAATACTTAAAAAATGCACCTTAACATTACAGCAGGCCTATAACCAGGTCAGAGCACTAGATTTAGCAGAACAAAATGCTAAAAATTATGATACAGTTGTAGTAATGTCAGAGACCTCTCCATCTTTACCTAGTCACTTTATTATATGAAAGGAACAGATGTAGTATCAGTGATTCTAGAAGGTAACAAGAGGAAGATCTTCAGGTGAATGCATATCCATTAGCTACTGGTTTCAGTTTTTCTGACCCCAATGCCATATCATAAACTGCATCAACAAAGTCTTTTCATATTCAATTTATTATATCAGAGGGACAGAGGTATATTCACTCATTAGCTTAGCATTTTGCCACATGCAGGCTAGCCTCTTTAAGAAATCTGGGTGCTGAAATCATGTCAATTTAAAATTTCTTGCAGCTCTTTCCTGAATTCACGTTGTTTTGGTCTTATATTTAAAACTTAGACAAAGGTATCGCTTATCAGAATTCTACACCCACTGATCTTCTTGCTAGTAATTTGCTATTTTGGGCTGGGCTCCACATTCTCCATTTATTGATGTCATTCAAAATGAGATAGATATAGATAGTGATAAATTTGCAACTTACTTTACTCTGTTGAGCCACAGTGTCGATGTTGGGAGCTCCTGCAATGGACTGTCTATTTCCGGCAGATTGCTCTGACGCTGCAGCTTGTTGTTGCTGCTGAGACTTGTTTAGTGTGTTCACCATGAGCTGCATCACAGTCTCATGGACACACAAAGCCCGCATCAAGTCAGGATGCTGGAAGAACACTTTATTGTCCATTAATTCTCTGGAAGGGAAATAAAAATGTAAAATACAATGTTATAAACTGCACAAGAGAACAAAAGAAACAACAAGTACAACCATTGAGGTGAAAGAAAAAAACAAGAAATGTTATGATAAAAATTCTTTGTATTGTTGATACAGAGGATCAGGACAGAACGTCTCTTTTTGGGTGAGGAAAGTGACTTGGAGGATGGGGGAGTCAGTAGGGCTTGGAGTTGATGTGTGTATAGGGTTGGTTGATGTTTACAGCTTGCCCGTTCACTATGACTGCTGACAGTGTCATGTGGGGTTCTTAAAAGCAGATGTTGTGGATCATGACTCACTGTTTTTTGTCATGCCTTTTGCTTTAGCCGCAACTTTTGTGATTGGTTCCTTTTATATTTCATCTTATATTTTTTTTGAGGGTATTAGCATTTTGAGTCGAATGTGATGTTCAGAGCCCCCTATGCATTTGCTTTCTTAACGTTCACATCTAGCTGACAGATTTTGATGTCAAATGAATCAGAAAAGAGATATAGTTTGAAGCAGAGTATAATAGCAAGAATTCATTTTTCAGGTTGTGAATAAAGCACTGAAATATTAACTCAAGATTTTTTTCTAAAAAGAATTATTGTTATGGTCCAATATCCTCGCACCACAGTTATAATCCAAAGGTTAGAACCAAGGAAGAACAGCACAAACACAAGAGTAAAATAACAAAGATATATTACAACAGAAATATAGTACAAGAAGTTGAAGGTGTTAGTAATGACTGTCTGTCTGGTTTAGAGTGAACCAATATTGTCTCGACTTGTTACACCATTCATTCGGTATTTAGCCACCCCCACACAAGGGTTGCATGTGGCACAAGGCCGTTTAACATAGGTTTCCCGAGCCTGTAGGCTCGGCCAAAAATATACCCTTTGAACCCGCCTAGACGGGTTCAGGGCGTGTCTACCTCCCTGGACACAACCTTGCCCTTCAGCAAAGCTTCGTCCGGGCTCCTCTCTGCCAAAGCAGAGAGTTCAACAGACATGAACTGGTGCTCCTTACACCATTCATTCATTATACCTCTTGAGAGGCGTAGTATTTATAGTGTCAGGAAGAGTCCATTATCATTATAGGTAAATTCCCATAACAATTATATATCTGTACCTCACTGATCAATTTTGCTTAAAGTTTAAATGCACATAGCAATCTTTTGCCTATTATTCATATTCTGTTTATTGGCAATGCTATCCATTAACTCTTTCAAAGAGAAGCTGAATATAAAATGCAAGAATCCATTTCTATGTGACTAAAACACTTATGTAATTCATCATTTTCATTTTTTTAATACAAATTTTGATTAAGTACAAGCATATTCATTAGAGTTACTTTTATATAAATGAAAATATCAACATTCCTTAAAAGTTGAATTTGATTGTCTCAGTTTAATATTAAGTCATTTCTTGTTATAAAATTTATATTATAATTATTTGCAAGTCTTAATTATTACTAAATTTAATTCCTATGAATTATTAAAGTAACATCATTGGTATGTTTGATGAAAAAGGTGAAGGGAATGTATTTTGAAATTAACAGTTACTAAATCTGGACTGAGCTTTTCTTGGACATACTTTTCTGTTAATTTAGCTTCAGTCACTTTCCCACCATGGTAATGTAGCTTCCCTGTGTCTTTTCTATTGATACTTTCATGGTAATTGTTCTGACAAACTTTCCTCTATGGTAACTAGACTTTATGAATTTATGTTTAGTAACTAGATTGGTGGCAAGGTCTAAAATGGCTAGATATAACTGTAAATTCTATGCTTACAGTTTCTTCTCTCACACTTCTCACTTGTGGAACTCTCTTCTGGCTTCTTGCTTTGCAGTCAACTGATATCTTCAAAAATGTCAATCGTTATCTGCTATTTTCTTAATACCTATTCTTTTATTGTCCTCTCCTCTCATAGTATTTTTTTTCTCATTCTCTCACACATGGTAATGCCTTGCATCATAGTGGCTTTATTGTCTTGACTGGAGTGAAATGATTAACAAAGTCATTTATATTCAATCAAAAATTACTTGGAAACTACTAGCTTGATTGAACTGAAAATTACTTTTTTTTTTTTTTTTTTTAAGAATTTCACCCTAAGAAAAGGGTTACACAGAGTGGGAGTGAGAGTAAAGAGGTGTGATAGAGGAAAGGATGAAGAGAAGGATAGGGAATAGATCAAGGCATCTGGAGATGTCGACTGACATTACATTTGAATAGTTGAATATTATAGCTATTAGGGAAACAAGTAGTAGGAAGGGAATTCCATAGACGGGAGGTGCAAGACCTAATGCTATTGGAGTAGAAGAAACAGCTACATTTAACTGTTTCGACAGTGAAAGGGTGGGATCAAGATGCCAGCCTAGTTGCACAATTCATGCAGTCTGGGAACTAGTGAAAGTAGCTCGTCAGAGCAGTTATCGTGAAAGTATTTGTAGAAAAGACAAAGGGATGTGACGGCATGTCTGTGAGAGAGCAATTGTAGACAAGATGCCAGATCAGGGTCAATTACATTGCATATCTGTCTGGATTTTGTCGAGGACCTAAAGATGAACAGTGGGGGCACCAGACCATATATGACAGCAGTAGACCATGCAAGGGCGAATGGTTGATTTATAGATTTGAAGGATGGACTTGGGTGAGAAAACTTTCTGGTGCGACACAGTGAACCAACTTTCCTTGTGGTGGATGAAGCTATTAACTGCATTTGTTCCATCTCAGGTCAGCGGACAGTGTGAGACCAAGCAGTTACAAAGAGGTGCTCTCGAGGAGTTGGGCATCAGACATTCTAATGGGAGGCAGAGAGGGTTCTCCGTGGTGAGTAATAGAGAGCAGTTTTGTTTTTGAGGCATTAAAGTTAACCAGCCAATTCCTGCCCCAGTCCATAACTGATTCGAGGTTCTTTTCAAGACTTTACTTTCAAAGTGGAACATTTAAACAGTATTGCACAAAAATTATACAAAGTTGTATTGTCTTTATATAAGGGTACAGAAATCAGATCATTGTAATATTAATTATTTAAATCAAAATAATAAGTATAGTTAAAAGAATACATACTTGAGGCTTGTCTTCATTGACTCCTCTTCATCAACAGCCACCTGTACCAACAGCAAAGAGCGGATATGTCCCAAAGCTTTAAGTAATTGGTTAATGTCATCCCTGCTTGCACTACTGATGACGTATGCCTTTTCTAATGCTTGTAGCAACTGAAATCAAGAGGAAACACTCATCAGTGATACAGAAAGCAAGAATTAAATACTGTTTCTACAGATATGATGTTTTTTTCTGATTAGCATCTTTTCAATTGCTGTTTTTTTTTTTTAAAGAAAAACATTCTTGCTGAATTTTCTTCTGATGAATGTTTAAGGAAGGATTTATTTCTCATTAACAAGGTGGATTAGATGTAATATTCCAATAAACCAATAAAATTTTGTATGTACCATCACACAAAATTATGTGCACCCCATTTTTAAAAGTCTTGTCTATCGTTTTATCAGGTCACTCTGAAAGTTCTACTGTTGGTCCAGTCATAGATGGCTAAACTGGTTCCTCCGCCAGGCCTTTCTAGTGACTAGACATGCAGTAGAATTAAAAACAGGACCTATCAAAGGGCAGACAAACCTTTTTGTAGTGTCAATGGTCATCTAGCAGAATGGGGTAAACTGGGATTCATAGCTGTGGTTGCAGCCAGTGCAGTGATGAAAGGGCAGAGAGATTATTAAACTGAATTCAACAGCCATAGAGCAAGATTCCATCTTGTCAGATCACTGACATTAAACAATTTTGAGCCTGGTCACTCCCTAGATGGGTGCTCGCTTGGGAATACCAGGTGTTGTAAGGTATGTGTGGGTTGCGTAATGGATAATTTAGAGAACAGAGTTTAAAATTCTGGGTAGGTTTGTTATATTCACTTATGTACAAATACTCTTGAGAAAAGGTATGAATCCACTTGTTCTCCTCCTAGCTATGGGTTAAATGGTAGGACTAGCATCAGAAAATCATTATCTACAAAAAAAAACTCTTATGATCCCAAAATATGTTTTGGCTTTATATTATCTTAAAAAAGGTTGATAGCTGTAAAAAATAAATTGAACTTTATGGAGAAATTATATCTTTATCCGCTACTTCTTGTAAAACAAGTATTTACCTCTGCAACTCCATCATACTGTCTGTGAAGTAAGCTGAACATTTCTCTCACTAGATTCTGATCTGAAATGAATGTCTCTTCTCCCCAGCGAACCATAGTCTGTGCTATTAGTTTCTGAAGAGAATCTGTTGAAACAAATAAAGAAAAATGTGTTATAATAACTTTTATGGTGATAATATAAAAATGAAAAACATGTAAGAAAAAAAAAACAAAAAAAAACAGCACATTCTTCTTCTATGTACCATGTCATTTTAAGACATTGGTGATAATGGCTCTCCAGTATTTCCTATCCTTTGTAAAGGTAAAATTTACTCATTTTATCTTTACATCTCTTCTAAACCTTGTTCCACCATCCATTCACTCAAACTTTATAGGTAGGTTATGTGTTGTTTTCTTCTGTAACCTCTTGCCTTCAGTATGTCTTATGAGTATCAAATTTTCCAAGCCCTTTCTTTATTATGTACCCTAGAAATTTCAACTCTTTCAAATTCAAAGTATAAGTATTCTTTTTGTTTCCATTTTCACTAAAACTTTGTTGTTGCTCACAAGTTCGCTCCATGCTATTCTCATCATCCTTCTGCAGAACCAAATATCAGTAAAGATACAGAAAAAAAATTTATCAAATACAAATGGAATTCATAAATTGTCACTACATAATATTGGACATAATATGCATTTAATAGATATTTATATTATTTACACACAGATTACTGTGCTTATCTTGCTATCACAATGTTTCAGCCAATTTTGCCCTCCAGTCTTCATCAGGTATATGTTCATCTGGATAACCTACACGGAATTTTGAACTGAACCCTTTATCTACAGGGCATAAATGTACCAATTGGCTGTGTATTAAATAAAAGGTTGTAGTAAAACTGCAGGCTACTGACCTTATTAAAAGGTTTTATTTGCTTAAAGAATACAGAAAGTAAAAAGAAATATATTAAAGTGGAACAGTCTATCCAAAATGAAATAGGTTTAAATAGTTCAAGGGTTCAGTTTGAAATTCCCTATAGGTGCATTGAATATTTGTTTTCCCAAGAAAATATTTTTTATTTTCTCAAGTACTTGGGAAAATGAAAACTATTTGAAAGAAAATTTTGGTATTTTTCTTAATCAATTTTCTAAGATTGCCAAGAAATTAATCTGCGAACATGAAAGGATCATAATGAAAACTAATCGACATGATATATATAAATTATTTATATATTTACATACTGATAATACAATGGTATATGGGTGCACCTCCAAAATTCTAGATGATCAGAGATTGGCAGCTGATCTCTCCGCTGACCTAGCTCTAACAGCTTAGTGGAGGAAAAAGTGGGTGCTCATATTCAATGTCTTGAAAAGCAAACTACTGACATTACATCAGCACTGAGTGGACACTGAATTTTTACCTATCATGATGGAGGGGGGTTCTCTCAGGAAGCACCCACCCTTGAGCACCTATTGGAACTTAAGTTGAACTTATATGATCCATTGCTAAAGATGTTGGAGAAATGGTTCAGTTTCCAGTACCACTTCAGCAAGTACATGACTCCTCTTGATATTTTCTATCTTTACAAGAATCAGATCAGGTTGAAAATGGAGGACTGCTGCCATATATAGGCAGGAGTTGACCAGTCTTTACTATCCAGTCTTGACTATCCAGTCTTGACCCAATTCAAAAGTGTGTCTGCGTCCTTGTGGGTAATGAATTATTTTCGACACTATGACCCCTTTCCCACAGATGAAATGTTGTTGCTCTATCGCTATTTCCATGGAAAGTGTTCGGACAAACTACATTCCTTCTTCCCACCAGTTCTAATCTTCATGGCTAAGACCTGCCATGCTACACACATTGTGGAAAACCACCATCATTCTCTTTGCATTCCATCAATGCAATACAAATTCCATTTGAGCAGATTCTTCCCACAAACCACTACATCATGGAACAGACTCCCAAGAGGATGCTTCTTCAATCATTACAATCTTAACCTGTTCATGTCTAGGGTTAACCGTTATCTTCTCCACATATCCCCATAAACAGTGCTTCTTACTCTGTAACCGCTTATCTTGAGGGCATCTTGAGCCTTGTGAACATTATTGTAACAAAAAAAAAATATTTACATACACGAAAGAATCCAGCTTTTTAAGTCATTAAAAATAAAAATATCAAAATGTTAACATGAAACAAAAAAAAGTAATGTATTAGCAACTTCATCTCATGACTAATGAGAATTTATTATTATAGTAACATGAAGTATCATGTTTGTTGTGAATCAAATAATTCCTAGTGTTATTATAAAAATGGAATATCTCATTACTAGTGGGTGTAGAAATGGGAGCATGACTGTTGACTTACCAGTTTTCGGTTCTTCATCAGAAGGCTTCTCCTTCACCTCTTCTTCTTTCTTGACTCTCCAAATCAATGATTTCAAACGATCCCTTATCGTTTTAGGTGACTCTTCAGCAATATCAACCTCTGCAACCTCTTCTGGCTGCTGAAGAGATGGCATTTCACAGTGAAGCATAAGTGTCTTGTGAAAGTTCAGTAATGAATCCCGCAGATCTTCTCTGCAGGCACAAATGTCCTCATCATATTCTTCTTCGCATTTAAATTTCAGAAGATTTTTCATCTAGAAAAGCAAAAAAGAAAAACAATGATACCTAAAGCTCCAATAAAATAGAAAAACTTTCATTAACTTTAAAATTGTGGATTGTGACAGTAAAACGAACTGATCATTTTATTGTCTATAAAACTTTGAACAGAATCATTAATATAGAGAACATTAAACTGTCTCAAATCTTTTTGTATATTTGCTTTTGTGTACACATTTTCTAATGAGTCATTAACATATTGAACATTGTTGAGTAGCTCAAACCTTGCTATATTTGCAGTTGTGTACACTTTAGCTTTCAAATGAGTCAGTAACATATTGAACATTGTGGAGTGGCTCAAATCTCTGTATATTTATTGCTGTTACTACTTTAACTTTGAGAAGATTCATTAACATATCAAACAGTGTTGAGATCTGCAAATCTTCTCTTTGTATATTTTGCTCTTGTTAACACTAACTTTGTGATGATGCATTAACATATTGAACATTGTTGAGTGGCTCAAATCTTCTCATTGTATATTTACTGTTGTTAACACTATAACTTTCTAATGAGTCATTAACATATCTGTTTGCTTACTTGAATTGCTTCTTTGTTTAATCTCTGAAAATTTACTCAAATTTTCCAAAATAAACAGAAAAGGTAATTCCATCATCTGAATTATATTTGAATTCAGTTATGGCATTTGCCACCATATCAGGAGTGAAAGAACTTGGAGAATTTTCCATTTCCTTCCATATTATTTCAATTAAATTTTTTTGTTGTTCCTGGAGTTCCAACAACTGCTGTTGTTGCTGTTGCTCTATTTTTACCATTTGGGTTAATAATTTTTCTCTATTAAAGAATATGTTTTTTTCTGAGTTTGTCTATATTTTTTTCCCTTCTTTCTTTTTTTTTCTTCTCTTTTTTACACACACCAAAGAAAAAAATTAAACCAATGGGGTTCTAATTTCTTGTTTTCACTGTTATCATCTATGCCAAAGCAAAAAGTACTTTTTTCCTACTTTGTATGAATTTTGGTCCCTCATCGCCAGTGTTATAACTTTCTCCTACTGGTTATAATATTATGTTTTGCTTAGGCTACTTGCCATGACATTACTAGAATTTACTTCAACTGACTCCAACGGATGTCTCACTTTGAGTTCTTTATTTACAGTGTCTTGCCTAGTTCATTTGTGTTACTGGAGGTGTCTTACTTACTCCATAACAGTAAGTGTACTGGTTATATTTCATGCAAAAGTAATTTAAGATACTTACAATTATTACTTTTATCTCATATAAAAATAAATTCTGTTTTTTAAATTATTAAATGTAAAAAGATCTTGATGAAGCTAACAAGTAAAACAAGAAAAAATAACAAATTAGAATCCTTATCTTATTAGTGAGATATGCTACTGTTATGGTAACATAAGGCATGTTTTCTTTGCGTGCTGTCAAGTAATGCCTTATATTATTATATGATGGAATATCTCATTACTAAATGGTGAAATTGGGTTGTACAACCACTAAATAAATTTACATTATTCTTTAAGATTTTTTCATTACCACTTATTTCATCTTAATTTTAGCTGCTTTTTATTGCAACGCTCATGTGGTCATTCTACAGTTGTCAGTAAGCAATTGAAATTAAAAGAAATACTTGCTGAAAAATCTATATAAATAAAGCTCAGTGTATGTGTGTCCATCCATTTTATGATCTCTGTGAATCATAAACAATCTGAAGTAGCAGTAGTAACTACTGTAGTTGCACACAATTAAAAATTAAAAAGCTCATTTAAAATAAAGTTTAAATATCAGTGTGAAAGGTTTAAAAAACAATTCTCTATTAAAAGTTCAATTTTAATTTCACTTTTTGTCACAATTGCAATTAATATCATCTAATTAAACCGTTAATAAAACTTATGTTTTTTTTCTTATTCTAGCATGTATACTTTGACACATTCAAAATATTACATAGTTTGGGTTCTTTAATTAAGATTAAATTTATGTGAAGGGATCATAAAGAATGGTGATTTAAAGGAAAAAAAAATTGCGTAAAAAATAAATGTAAAGAAACTATGGAGATCAGTTACGTATATGAAGAAAGATTATGCCAAATTAAGGTGTTATGAGATAAACAGATGCCTACTACTATCTTTCATTCTCAGTAAAACCTTGTGCCTTAGAGACTTTATGAAGTAGCTGGTGGTGAAATTAATAAAACACACACACACACATTTGAAAGTATTAACATAGTTACAAGGAATTAATTTGTATTATTCAAAGTGTAACAGCTGTGGAAATATGATGACTAATGATGTGGTTATAACAACCAGCCAAATATACAAGAAATATAACAAGGCATAAGAAGTCTGTCTCAAGTGTAGGTGACTATGATTTGCTAATATAACATTTGATGACAATAAAAAGTTAAAGATAGGAACACGTTCACTAGTTCTGTAAACCTTTTAAACCACACGCACTAAAGCCATTACAATAGTGATGTGTCTTGGGCAAGATAATCTGAAGAAACCCAACTGTCACCAGATTGGTTTGAATTCAGAGTTTTCTTTCTCCTAGGCTGGTTGCCAACTAAGGCTATATCATGATCATAAGTTGTGTAACACTGCAGTATCATAGGGGCACCAAATATACAGCAGCCATACCAGCAGTGGTGTGTTTTGGGTAAGATAACCTGACAGAACCTAATCTTTTTCAGGTTGGTTTGAGTTCAGAATTTTCCTTCTCCTAGACTGGTTACTAAATAATCAATTAGTAGTCTGTAACTCATTAGAGTTATGTGAGCACCACATGTACTGCAGCAGTGGTATGTCTTGGGCAAGATGGCCTGATGGAGCTCAACCTTCACCAAGCTAGTTTGAATTTAGTGTTTTTCTTCTCCTAGGCTGGTTGCTAACAAAGGTTATTGGGACCAGTTTTTCCTGGTGTTTATCCATAACTGGAGGGAAAAGAGATTGATTCATATTTTTCCCAAGGTTATTTATCTGTAAGTGAATTCAACAAACTCAACTGGAATTTGAACTCGGCACTCCAATTTCTCATTCTGAGCAACTATCCATTACACCACCATGCATCCAAAAATATAGTGGCTAATTAATATTGTTACTAGATAAATAAGAAGCACTTACTTGTTCTTGGGGAGGACATCTGAATTCCCGAGTCTTCTTGGCAGTAACAGCCGAAGGAAGATCAGACTGCTTGATAGCATTATAACGCCATAATTGATCCTGGAAAAAAATAAATAAATTAATATTATTAATAAAGTTATACTAAATGCCTTCATTCTTTGAAGACTGAAGATTGGAAATTTTTTTTTTAACAATAATGTTCACCCTGTACAAAGCCGAAGAGACACTCAAAGTAGAGGATTACAGAGTTAAACGAGATGAGTAGTTTCTAAAAACACAAAGTTTTAGTAGATAATAAAAGCTGACTAAAGAATATCACATATTTTTCTGTTTAAGCAAAACATCATATCAGACCTTTTACCAGAATTGGAGCTGATCAGAGTTTTAAAAATCTGAGGACACACCAGGTTCTGTCTCTGTCATACCTTCTATGTGACGTTACTTCAGCACATGAGAGATCATGGTTATCCATGAGCTACTATTCCTTGTAGCTCTTAGTGGTGTTTGTTTTTGCCCACTGCATTCCCTTATCTCTCTTGATCTCAATAAACCCTGTGAGAGTTAGGGAAATAAGGCAATGGTGTGACAAGGTTGGTGGGAAACATTTAACAGGTAAGAGATTGTTCTCTTAAGAATTAAGGTGGAGCAGGCAGAGAAAAGAGAGAGATGGTAAGAAATAAAAAAACTCAGTAATGACAAGTGAAGCCACTGCCCGAAAAACCACAGAACTGTGGGCAATAATAACTTCCAGAACAAAATGTGCCAAGGGAACACCTTTACAAGAAAGCAAATCTTCAATAATAGCAATGTGTGTCTTGCCAAAAAGCAGACTACTGGTTTTCTGGTCATTTTTATTGACATGAGCTGGTTAACAAAGACTTGGATCTGTACAAGTTACAGAGAGGTCTGTATCTGGATATGTCAAGCTGTTTTGCTGCTAACTGGGAAATTTAATTGCGACTGTTTTTGACAGACATGTTGACATGCAACTCTGGGTCACTTTTGTGTCTGTACTGATACACATTTACCACAGTTCTCCAAGTACTTCTTCCTCATTATACATCCAAAAAATTTCAACTATCTGATTCATTTTGTTCCCATGTTCTTTAAGACTTCCTCATTGCTTACTCTTCATAAAATACTTAATATCCTTCTGTAAAATTCACCTTTTTTTATGTGCCTTCAGGACATGGATGATCATTGTTCTCCACAATGCATATAGGGAGTCAATGAAAATAAAACTTAAAATAAATAATAAATTTATAAAATTTGTTTTGAAGCTAAAAGTTTCTTAAATGACAGGCTTAAAGACAGAAAAAAAAATGATATAAATAAGCAGACACAAATAAATAAATTTGAATATTTAAAAATGAAAGACCATAAAAAAAATTGTGTGATATTACCTGTTTAAAATTAATCAGTGAATCCACTGATTTGGTGTAAGAAAATCTAAAACAACACGAAAATGTTTTAACAATTAATCATTATGATGCATGGTACCTACTTTTTGACAATTTCCAACAAATTCATCAGAAAATGCAACAATGGATTCCACTCGATGTCTTAACTGGGAATCACAAAGATGTTGGAGAATTCGGCAAACCTAAAAAAAAACAGAACAGAAAAATCAGTGATTTTAAATTAAAAGACAAGGATTTAAATAATATTCAATCAACAGTGATTCATTTATTATGGCTTATCAACCCTTTTCAGGTTATTTAAAGCCAAAAATATATTTTTAAATTGTAAGAATTTTTTTTTTTAGAGAATTATTTACTGAGACAAATCTTACTAATTAACCCATAGCTGGGGATAGAAGAAATGAATTTGATAAACAAGAAATTATGATATAAACAGGGGGCTCAATTCTATATTACAATCAATATATAAATTGACCCCTCACTTTGTGTCCAAGGTAGTTTCTATACATTTCTATTCCAGAGAATTTAAATAAATCTAAAAGACATGCCTGTGTAGCTAATCAGCATTTGATTGATTCATTTATTTTCCACAGCTTATCAATGCTTTGCATGTTATTTAAAGCCAAAAAATATTTTTAGATTGTAAGAATTTTTTTGTTTTTTGAGATAATAATGATCTACTCATAGAGAATAGGTTTCTCAAGCTAACTGTTATCACTCATTCCAGTATTGATGAAGGCTTCCTTCCTTACCTTTTGTTTGAAGTTGTGTTGGACATCAACATCTTAATCTTGTCCTTGAGTTACATATAAAAAAAAAAAAGTTTAAGTGACATCCAATAATAAAAATTTACTTACCTCTAATTTGACAGCCTCTGCAAGCTGCATACTTAGTAAACCATGTTTGACTGAAACTATAAATATAAGAAGACTCATTTAAACATGTGAAAACAAAAGATTTTTTTCAAAATTCTCTAGGGAAAAATAGAGACAACATTCTCCATCATTTGGCGAACAAATCTTTGAAAAGTTCTAAAGGAAATACCATTTCAAGTTAAAAAAAAAGTCACAGTTTTGTTTATTACTTTAGAATCTAATGTTTTTCATATTTGTATCACTCACCAACCTCCAAGTAGGTCTTGCAATCTGTTAGTCCAGAACCAACCACTGCACATCAAGGTCTAATCTTGATCTAATAGTGTTTATTATTTTTGTGTGTAAATTCTCAAGAACAAAAAAAAAAATGTATAAATTTACTTTCATATGTTAAGGTTTTATTACAATTCTAATCATCACTTTTTAAATCAATAAACATTGCTGAAGAGTGGAGGTAGTTAAAAAAAAGAAAAAAAAGAAAAAAAGAAAAAGTGATTTCCTGGGAAAAAAACATCTTTTTGTACACTGTCTTATTGTTGGTATGCTTGTCAATGTTTGCCAGAACATGTATAGGCATACGAGTAAAATGTGAATTATATCTGCTGACTGGCTTCCATGACCTAATTGGTAAAATGCTGTCCATGCCAGACTAACTTCCAGTGATAGGCAGTGTTGAAAGCTGTGTCTTTTTTTCTGATCAACATTGCTTAATTAGCAGTTCTAGAACTTAAAGACTTCAGCATTGAGTACAAACAACAAAAAGAAAAGTGAAAAGAAAAACTAAAAAAAAAAGTTATCATCACAATAACAAATCTTTTCAAAACTATGACTTCAAATTATTTTCTTATAAATATCTCAAAATTAACTGAATATAAGTTTATTACAACCATCAAGAATTGAGAACAATAATTAAGTTTTTCATATTTTATAATTAGAAAGCAATTACAAATTATTATATATGAGCTAAAATCAGCTTAAAAAATAAATAATTTATGATTTTTTTTATTTGAGTTTTACATAATAGAAAAATGTGTTTCTATTACACCATCAGAAAAATTTAATTTATTAGGATAAGCAATTTTCTCATCTCCATGGAGTGAACTCTTCTTATAATGAAGAAAAGAGTTATACACACAATATATATGACAATTGGAAAATGTTCATGAAAATACATTATCTTGAAAATATATCTGATTATGCATTTCAACATTTAGGCTTCATCAGATTGAAACAGAAATGCATGACTGGATATATTTTTGAGACAATATACTTTCATGAACTTTTTCCAGTTGTCAATAATTTATAACTCTGTCAGGTTTGTATACGCCAATTTTGTAACATACATTATATATATATCAGCAGGGTCAAAATAATGCAAAATTGGAAATTAATATACACATGCATTTGAGCCATATACAGACCTTTTAAAAGTTAGTGACAAAAATCACTGGACAAATAAAATTCACAATAACATAAAATGAGATTATTATAAGTAAACACATCTTAGAAAGATACATATATCTGTAAATCATAAGAATAAAATTTTTGATTTTATTTTGTCATTTATGGGGTTGTTTTATGCAAAGTGATTTTCCAAATGCATTTCTAAGGTTTAGTATTTTTTTATGAAAATTAAAATAATACTGAAAAAGTGGGTGGTAGGTGGTGGAATAATTTTTATTTTTGTGTTTTAAAAAATGTTATTTTAAAGGAATTTAAAATAGAATACATATAAAAAAAAATATATATATATATATATATATATATATATATGAAAAATTTCTCAGAGCTAACCTGTAGAAAAAGGCAATATGTATAATGGCAAAAGACAATAGGAAAACTCTATTATTAGCTGATGCATTTCATCCAATGTGGACTTTTTCAAGGCAAAAACAAAATGAATTTATTAAAAACAAAGTAACTATTAGCAACAAACAAAATGTCCTTAGAAACTAGAAGAATTTAGAAAATGCTATTGTATTCATATTGACATAATTTTAAGTTGACAATATGAATACAATAGCATTTTCTAAATTTTCTTTGTTGCTAATAGTTACTTTGTTTTTAATAAATTCATTTTTTTTGCCTTGTAAAAATCCACATGGAACAAAACGTGCCAGCTAATACAGTTTTCTGATTGTCTTTTACCTTTATATATGCACACACGAGTAGGATCATTTGGAGACCTTGAGGCACACTATATGCACCAGTTCTGTATTCAGTTATTCTGAAAAATGTGATTGATTCTGCACAAGCTTTCACCACTATAATCATATTTATATCATATATACAGGTAGTTTGACTGTTCAGTTTTAAGAACTGAACTGCTGAAAACTTGTACATTGAAAGTCAACAGGAGAGTCCAATATACCAGGTATAAAAGCATAGGATATTTGTCCATCACACAAAATGCTTAAAAAGCCACTAAACTAATTGAGTTTCTTTTTTCCAGGTTTTCGGAGAAGACATCTAGCCATCTTGACACCATTTGTCATAAGAATCACTGAAAAACCCTTTGAGTTATTCAGCTAAAAAGAGAACAGGTTAAAATAGTTTTGAGCCAGCCTCACCATGTCTTCCCAACTAAGCAATGATGAGAGGAAAAAGATCATTCAGGCCTTCAGTAATGGTGCCAACATTCATACTCTGGCTTCCATCTTCAAAGTCCATTCAAGAACCATTGAGAGAATGGTGAATAAATTTAAAAAAAGAGGCAACAGTAGAGAGGAAAACTGGATCAGGAGGTCACAACAGGAAGAGGGATCATCATTTCAAATTAGAGCTAAATACATTCTTATTGTTAAAAGTATAGTACCAATAGTGTTATAAAAATCTCAGAGAATTCCAGTAAGATCATTGCTAAGATACAACAGTTCAAAGCTTGATCTAATAATTGGACAATTTTGCTGTTACACCTGGTATATATGCATGCATGGCTGTATATATGAGAATACAGACAGGATGATTAAAATATATATAAATTTCATTACACATAATGCAAATTTTACTATAAGTCATATGAATTAAATGTAACAAGTGGGTGTAACAAAATTATTGCATTTTTAACTGATATATACAAAGTCTGATCAACAGGTATCAATATGTGACTATACACATATTTTATCTATATAAACAGCAGATGATAAAACACTGAAAAAAAAAAAAAAAAAAAGAGAATGCAAATTTTACAGTAGGTATTCTATGTGCCATATCCCTTCACGACATAGGTGATCATGGCTCTCCACAATTTTCTACCACTTGTGGCTCTTAGCAGTTTTTCTTTTGCTAAGAACCCCAACCCTGTTCCATCATCAATATAACCTCATCAGGCAAGTGGCTTGCTGCCTTTTCTATCTCTCCTACCCTCAATATGCTCTGTGAGGGTTAAATTTCCTAATCCTTCAGTGTAATGAAATAATGTATTTTTGAGACTCCTTCACACAGAATGGTATCGAGATACAGTATTGAATATATATATATATATATATATATATATATATATATATATAGGATGGGTAGAAAGAAACTCCCTATTGAAAATTACCTATAACTTTTGTTAATCTCACCATATTTGCATGAAACAAAATATATTGTGATTCCTAAAGTGGTAGAATTTGATTGCTATAGTCTGTTGTTATTTCAGAATGACAAGTGTAGTCCAGAATGGCACAGTGCTTGACACTACATGAGTGTTTTCAGCTAGCATCCTGTTACGAAGTGTGACAGTCTGTTGTACAAGTGCAGAGATGGTAACATAGTGTTGATGGACCTCCTGCTTCAGGAGATGCAAAAGCCATCAGAAACTGTCAATCCAAGCTGATGAGTACAGGATCTGTGGTAATTCCCCACAAAAGAGGTTGTCTTTTAACATCCAAATTGGAAAAAAATGTGCAAAATGTAGAATTTTAACATTGTACTTTACTTCTACCATTATACAGTTCAAAGTAAAAGAGGGTTTATGAAAATCAACCAATAATAAAGTTATTAACAATTTTAAGTAGGGAGTTTCTTTCCAATCATCCTGTATATTTCTACCTGAAAAACTCTTAAAACAATGGTTCATTATGAATTTTGTTGGTGATCTTAAAAGTTTTAAATTTGTTTATAAAGGGTTTTAACAAACAAGTTCCTAGTTATCATAAAAAAAACACTGGTAATAAACACTGCATCTGGTGAGATTGTAACTTTCTTTTTGCTTTATTCTTTTGTTAATGTCCTTCAGATTTAGGAAAGAAAAAATTAAAATGTTTGTCTAAATGATTATTATTTAGTTACATAATGATCAAACATTTGGGAAACTCAATGTGGTGCAATGGTTAGCAAGCATGTCTTGCTAGAACAATTATGACTGAGTAGTGAGTTCAGTCCTCACTGGGTGCCCCATACTTTTGGCCTTGTGACACATCTAAGCTATGCTTAGAAAATCACCATAATAATCAAACATTATTCAAAATGTCAGAAATTGTGCTGCTATTAGTAGCCATTGAATATAATTTTTCAAGTTAGAATTTGGTGTATATGGCTTGTTATTGGTAGATGGTATAAAATTCCAACAACATCTAACCCTTTAAAATCTTGTTTTTCATCTGTACCAACATTTTACAGTCTACAACATTTGAACACTTATCAAATATTGTAATTAATATAAATCTTTTTATAGTACTTGACAAGAAACTAATTATAAAGATTCACAGTTAAAAAAATATTTTTCAAAGCAGATGATACAGTTTAACAGACTTTATAAATTGCTGATTAAAAGAACTCGGCATATTTCTTTATAAAATGTCTTGTTACTGGCTTGTCACAATAGCTGAAGAAGAGAGTGATCTTTTTAATGCTATTAAAGAGTTTTCAAGTTTACTCTCAACAAAATAAATGAGAATTACAGAAACACTATCGACAGAAATTTCAGTTTGTAGATTTTATAATGTCGACCCTCCATCTACAGAAGTGGACGGATGTAGATGGAGCAGATATATCAAAATAAATACTTCAATTCTTCATCTTTCTTTAATGAAGGTTCCTTTGATTTTAGAAA